TGAACGCAACGATGGCGATGTAAGGACGGGTTTATGACTGGTTGGGGCTGCTGAGTAAGTGACATGAGAACTTTCGGCGGGCCGAGATGCCGTTACAAAGGACGACGATGATGTTGGAGGTGGCAATGTTCTATTCCGCAGCCACGACAGAAAAGGCCCCTATTACGGAACGAGAACTTTGATTTCAGCCTGTATCTAGTGGAGGGACTGGGGTGACGAATGGTCGATGAGGCTATTCAATGTAATTGAAAATACTTTAGAGGCTGAATTATAGAGGTCGATTGGTTTTCATCTTTTTTTATGTACATACATATGTAAATACTATATGTATGAATGTAAATATATAAAAATAGTTTTTTTGTATCGGTAAATCATTCACCGCATTAAAAATGGTGAGAATTGGCAGACTCATTTAGCAAATTTAATTGGGACTAGAGAAAAAAGAGCAAAAGTTCGAGCCATATTTGCTCAACTTTCTTTTCGTGTGTTACCAATTTAATTAATTTACATATTTGTGTATGTACATAAAATGTACATATATATTTACATACATACACTTGAGAACTTTTGACCCTTAAATCATTATCATTGTTATTATTATTATTATTATTACAGCATTATCAATTCTTGAATAGAAAGAGCACAGAAGTCAAAATAAACGAGAAGCGACAACTTTTTTACCCGGCACTCATCTGAACCTTAGCGGTGTTTTGCCAAATTTTACATTTTTTCTTCATCTGTCATCTACTACAACACTTCTCACGCCAACACGCTCCTTTAGCTCGCCCCCCTTTCCAAGAGCCACACACTGCAGAGTCCCGGCAGAGGCAGAGGCAGAGGAAGGCGAGAGTCAGTGGCCGCACACAGCAGAAGCAGAGTGTGGCTGAGAGAATGTGAAAAAAACATATATAAGCTGCGGGGCGGGGTGGGTTTAGCCACTGCAAATAAATTTCTTCATTGTGGCCATAATAATGATCCAATTGGATTCCAATTGGGTGATCTGATAGATATGGTCATTCCCTACGAAATTAGTTTAGTCTTCTTTTATCTTCAAAATTGTAGCTTTGGAGATTTGCGGTGGCGGAAGGGGGCGGGGATTATTTTTTAAATCCACTTGTAACAGTGTGAGAAGTCTGGATGCAGTGGTTCTAGCCTTTATGGTCTCTGAGATCAAGGCGTTCAAAAAGACGGACGGACGGACAGACAAACAGCCATGGCTTAATCGACTCGGCTATTTATGCTGATCAAGAATATATATACTTTATGGGGTCGGAAACGTTTCCTTCTGTGCGTTACATACTTTGTGCACAAATACAATATACCCTATTTACTCTTCGAGTACCGGGTATAAAAATTATGCAAAGAGAGCCGGGGATTGGGAGGATGAAAGCCAATTTAATCAAAAAACCCTCGTGATTTAGTGCGCTGCTGAGTGCGCGCACTCACTTATCGAGAGGTGCAAGTGTAAGGAGAATTGTTTTTAGTTAATTTCGAAAGTTTAAAGCCATAGGGTACGGTAATAAACAAAAACATACTAACTAAGGGACAAAAAATGATCGTCACTGAGAAAAATATACGAGCATTTGCGAAAAAAAAGTATAAACATCAATTTTCACTTGCCTTTTACATTCTTCTTTTCCTCATTGCGCTTCTTCTTTTCGCATGTTTCGTGAACCACTTATTGTCCTCTTCACACACATGCATACGTAACCCGCGCGACGATACGACGAAACGAACGAAACGAAATAAATGTAACGGGATCGAGAAAGAGATCCTAATAAGAGCATGGATTTTGGGTACATCAGTTTAGGGTGACCCATTGGGACGGAAGTTCGTACGCACACATTCAACGAGAGAGAGTCAGACTTGCACGAATTGGGTTGGCTCACCCTATTAGGAGACACTTGAAATGAGAGCGCTGACACTCGCTCTTTGCTTTTTTCCCCTCTTCTTTTTTCTTGCGCTTTTATATGATTGCACGGTGAGGGGACATTGCAAAGTGAGGGGACAACTTCGCGCCTTTTCTGGCACATTTTCACACACACACACACATTGCAAGCCCTTGGTGCAAATTTATAACTTTTTTGCTCTATGTACATATGTACATACATATGGAAGAAAAATAATACATTTTCAGCACTTCCCTTTCACATATTGCCGCATATTTTTAACGCCGATCTGCTTTTAGCCTCTTTGTGCTCCTCCGCAATTGATCTCGCATTTTTTGCCAATTATATACTCCATTCACCATATTTAACTGCACTTCACTTTCACATATTGTCGTATATTTCGCAATTGATCTCGCATTTTTTTGCCCATTAAATGTTCAACTATTGCACCACGTTTCACTTCACTAACACACACTTCACTTTCACATGTTGCCGCATATTTCCGCCGACGATCTGCTTCTAGGCTCGTTGTGCTCCTCCGTAATTCATATCGCATTTTTGCCATTTAATGCTCAACCATTTTACTACACTTCACTAACACACACTTGTTGTTGTACACTGCACATTACTCCACAGCTGCACGACACTTTTTCACGTTTAGTTTCCCGAATTCTCCTGTATTTTCCCGATTTTACCCGATTTTTCGCGGACCAAAACCGTACCGGACCGAACGCGCTGGCAGATTTTTAAGTAATGAAATAGGGTTGAGGAAGCTGCAAAAGACGTAAACTGCGTAGGTGTTGGTGGCTTACGCCGCGCTCCCCTACTCACAAATCCAATGCACATATATTGGGACGTGCACTTGGGCCTACTGCTCTCTGGGCGTTGGTACTAGCCGACCAGATCAGTGTAGGGTGAATCTATGTACGTTTTTGGAATGAGATCTCGAATGTTCGCTCTCTTTACATTTAGCTAATGAGAAAGTGAAAAGGAGAAAGAATAAGAAAATGCTGAGCTCCTGGCGTGCTGGCATGAATTCAAGTCAAAGTAATCGGAAAATCGATTGGAAAATATAAAGGGAGTTAAATTTATGATTTATTTTAAATAAACTATCAATTTGCTCCGTTTTTTTTTCTTGTGGTTTCATTTTATTTTTCTTTATGGTTCTCTCTGGTTTTCTTGAGAGAGCGAGAGAGCAAAGTAACGGCGAAACAACTCGAGACTGAGCTCTGTTGTTCTTTTTGCTTTGTATGAGTGAATAGGAAAGACAATTGGAATCTTAGTGTTGGTGGCTTATGACTCGCTCTCCTGCTTGCAAAACCCATGCACATTTATTGTGTCGAGTACTTTGACTATACGTATCTGGAATTCCGTGCAAGCCGACCAATTCAGTGTATTGTGATTTCACATTTTTGGTACATTCTCCATGCGCTTTGAAATGTATAAATCTAAAATGGTCTCTCCCTTTGCATTTACCTAATTGTCAGTAAAAAGGGGGGGAGATAAGGAAGATGGGCTGCTGGAGTGCTGGCTTGAATTCAAATTAAAGAAATTGCCCCGGAAAAGTTTTCTGTCACGAGATCTCGATCGGAAAATGCTTAGAAAAATGTGGAAATTGTTAAGAGTGTTCAAATAAAGTCTAATTATGCCAAAACCAAAATTTTTTCATGTTGGTCTTTTTTTCTTGTTGGTTCTCTTTGCGTTTCTTGTGACAGCGTTGAAGCTGTTAGAGCGAGAGAGCAAATTAACGGCGAAACAACTCGAGACTGAGCTCTGTTGTTCTTTTTACTTTGTATGAGTGAATAGGAGAGACAATTGGAATCTTAGTGTTGGTGGCTTATGACTCGCTCTCCTGCTTGCAAAACCCATGCACATTTATTGTGTAGAGTACTTTGACTATACGTCTCTGGAATTCCGTGCAAGCCGACTAAATCAGTGAAGGGTGATTTCACATTTTGTGTACATTCTCCATGCGCTTTGAAATCTATAAATCTAAATGTTCGATTCCTTTGCATTTGACTAATTGTCATTAAAAAGGGAGGGAGATGAAGAAGATGGACTGCTGGCTTGAATTCAAATCAGAAAAATTTGATAAATTACAAAAACTTGTTCCTCATCAAGCGACGGCGGCTAGAAATATGTTTTTTTTTCGTTCGTTCATATCTGTGTGTTTGTGAGTGCAAAAAAGCCAGGACAATTTTTCCCCTTCCCTCTCTAATACTCAATTTGATGAAGAGGAGAGAAGCAATAAGGAAGGAGCGCGAACAGTGAGTTGACGCTCTCTCGTACCAAGTATCTCATTGAATGGTGAGCTCATGAAGTAACTATATGGGGAGGTCCAGTCGGGTACCGTTCGGGAGTGTTCGGTTGTTGATGTTAAATGTTGTGTGCGGACGAAATTTTTCGTTTTGTTTTTAACCCTTTTAACTCGCCGTATTTAGCGTATGCGCGCAGAAATGAACTCGATTTTTGAATCAATTAAATTAGATTATTTGCGATCTTTGTGATCTCTGTTTCTTTAGTGGTTCCACACGGATTTAAAAGACCTGCACATCAATTTCCCTCTTTCAAACATTTTCAATGCATTCATGATTTTTATACCGTACGCTAAGAGTAAATAGGGTATAATGTTTTTGTGGTCGATAAATGTAACTGAAACAAATAAATGAAATAAATGTAAAGAAACGCTTCCGATCCTATAAAGTATACATGTATATTCTTGTATAGCATCAATTTTTTTTTAGAAATTTTGTGGGAAGACTCATGTGCTATCACACTGAATCAAGTTTGTTTCAAAATGTAACTTTGCCATTAAAAAAAGTTGTAGGTAAGATGATAAAGCATCGAAGAACCTTTTTCGACAAATATATTTTCTCAGTACAAGTTCTCGACCTACTTCTTTCATTGTTAGGGCTTACAAAGGGCTTTCATACACTCGGGTATTAAAGCTGATCAAGAATATATATATTTTATGGGGTTGGAAATATTTCTTTCTGTGCGTTACATACATATGTACATCCACTTTCCACAAATACAATATACCATATTTACTCTTCGTGTACCGGGTATACAAAATTCCAGCTAACGTGTAGTTGACAGTCCAGGGGTGACCCCGAGACTGCTCTCCATCAGCATCGGTGGCATGAGCTAGTGTTATTATATTAACCGACATTTTAGTGGGATAAGACACTTTCCTTTGTGGCTGTGCCACCGGTCTGCCGAGTTTCTCAGTAGGCCCGTCTCCGCTGGACTGACGATGGACCGACTTCTGAAAATCGCGGGGATCACGTCTCTGGCAGCGGCTATAGCGACCGTTTCCCTGTTTAATGGACTCGCGTGTACTCGATGGGGCCGTCTGACTGAGCAAGTTTTTCATGCACTTTCTTATCAAGGCCGTACATTCGGACATTGGCGCGGTTGCAGGCACACCGTGTGAGGTAATACTCATATTCTCCTCACGTTCACATGGCATGACTCGGTGCGGTCCTCTCCTACTCCTCTTGGCGAAAGAGGGCATAGTCGCAATCTCGATATTTGTTTCAGGCCCACGATGCCCAGTAGGGTATGCGGACTGATGGTCGTTGCCAGTTTTCCCTGTTTCCATGTAACTTTCATTTTCCAGCAACTGTCTATAGGACTCAACCATCACGCCGCGCAATATACTCTCTTTTGGCACAGTAGTCAGCCTTCTCGAAGAACTCGGCACTTTACCGAATAATGGCATAGTCTCATAATTGAGGGATGTTACGGACTCATCACCGGTTTTACGTGATGGCATGGAGAAAAGCTTCAGAAAGCGAGGGCATGATCTCCTCTGCTAGGCATTCGTCACATGTATACCGTCGGGAGGTCCTTCTTCTTATGACGCCTCCCACTTCATCATATTATGGCATCCGTTCGTCTTCTATTTTCTCTTTTAATTTGAGTCTCCTGTTCTGAAAGGCTTCTGGTTCTTTCATTGAAGCATGGCGTCCTTGTGTCCTTGTGTCAGAGTCACTGACAGAAATAACTATATTCGCAACAGAGTTGTTAGGAATGGGTTTATCTCGCATTCTTGAAACATCTTCAAAAGCGTCCATGGGTTGTCCTTGAGTGTATGTAAGTTCGGTTCCAGGGTTGGTACGGTACTTCTAAGCAAAGATTGCCTCTGATTGTCTAAAGCTACATTTTTGGCCCTTTCAATATTCAAGGATTGACCCTGATAGTTTGAAGTTCCACGACCGGTACTCTCGAATGTCGGTTCAGATTCATGGTTTATATTTTAAAAAGGCATGGTTGTCTTTGAATGTTTACAGTTCCACGACCGGTACTCTCAAATGTCGGTTCCGATTCATCGTTTATATTTTGAGAAGGTATGTTTTGCCTTTGATTGTATGCAGTTTCACCAGGGGAACTTTTGAATTTCGGTTGCACTTCATGGTTTATGTTTTGAGAAAGCATGCCTTTGAATGTATGCAGTTTCACGACCAGTACTCTCGAATGTCCGTTCAGATTCATCATTTATATATTGAGAAAGCATGGATTGCCGTTAACTGTATGCGGTTCCATGACTTTTTTCCTGGAATGACAGTGCCGGGTCATCGGTTATACTTTGAGAAGGCATGGAGTAGTGCCTTTGAGAAGTGCCAGCATCATGGCCACAACTCTCGAAAGTAGGGAATGATTCATGGCATTTATTGTTTGATGGCATCGATGGACTTTGATTAGGTATGGATTGTCTCTGACTATATGAAGTTCCACGTCCGGTACTCTCAAATGTGAGATTAGATTTATCATTTATATTTTGAGAGGGCATGGATTGCCTTAGTTTGTATGCAGTTCCACTACCGGTACTTTCGAATGGTGGTTCCGATTTATCCTTTAAGTTTTGAGATGCCATAGAATGTTTCTGACTGTATACGGTTCCACGACCGGTACTGTTATATGTCGGTTTTGATTTATCGTTTATATTTTGAGAAGGCATGGATTGACTGTATGCGGTTCCATGACTTTTATCCTGGAATGACGGTGCCGGGTCATTGCTTATATTTTGGGAAGGCATGGAGAAGTGCCTTTGAGTAGTGCAACCATCCTGGCCTCGAATGTAGGGCACGTTTTATGACAGATTTTGTCTGATAATCTGTCCTTGGACTCTGAGTAAATGCAGGTATGGATTGTCTTTGAGTATATGAAGTTCCACGACCGGTACTTTCGAATGTCGGTTCCGATTCATCGGTTATGTTTTGTAAAGGCATATATTGACTTTTATTGATCGTCGTTCCGCGACCGGTACTCTGGAATGTCGGATCCGATTCATAGTCAATATTTTGATATGTCAAGAATCGCCTTTGGGTGGATGCAGTTCCATGACCGGCACTCTGAATTGTCGGTTCTGATTCATCGCTTATGTTTTGTGATGGTAGTGATTGCCTCTGAGCTGCTGCAGCCTTGGATTGTCTCTGCGTACTTGAATGTTCACCGCCGGAAGAGGTGAAATTAGAACAGGACTCATCGCATATGTTTTGTAAAGGAATTGATTAATTCTGATGATGATAATGTCCATGACCTGTACTAGGGAATGTGTTAACCGATTCATAGCTTTTAGTCGGCTGCTGTAAATCTCTTCTTCTGGTCGACCCAGCTTCACCTCGAGACGAGGCGGACGGACGGGCGTTGCCATTTGTGGATCTCGAAGAAGAAAAAACCTCTCCTGTGCGTGGGCTGTCACTGAACTCATGAGCAGAAGTATCGTTTATATTCTGACAATGCTCCGATATCGGGGAACTGGGGTTCTCTTGAAACTCATCGCGTCTGCTTACTGGGCTTTGAGATCGGCTTCTTCGGTGGGCGCTTTGAAAGTTTGAACTCGGGATAGTCTCTTGCGAGCTTCCCGAGGTATGAATAATATTAGCAAACGATGTCATTGTTTCTTCATCAAACAAAAAGTTGCTTCTAGGAGCTTGTCCATGCGGTTTTCTTTTCAGTTTCTGGTCAGCCAATCTATTACTGAGCCACTCTTCGTGTACCTTGACCAAGTAGCCGGAAGCATTGGCATGTGATGGCTCATGGTTGTCTGCTCATGCAGAATGGCAGCTCCCGATTGGCGGGTGGAACACCAGGCGCCACTGAACGAAGACGCCGTTTCGTCTTTTAAATGGTCGGCGGCGTTAGCTGCGATCGCAATTTTGACAAGACCCTTGCCCATCTGGATACTCGCTGGACATGACCTGCTTACCAACACGCGTGCTCAATACCGGCGGCATAGAGTTATCGTGGAGTGAGAGCATCGTTTCGTCCTCCACATTTTGGGACTGACCCTGTCTGGAGAAGTTAAAGCGCCGTGCGATGGCCGGTGGCAAATCGTGTTGAGCAAAGTAGACTGTGGTCGGCTCCTCAATGTGTCTAGTAATTTTACCGTAATTTTACCTTATGGCACGTAGTCTTCAATGCGCAAGAAAAAGCAGCATTTGAAATACAATTAAATTCATATTTTTCGGAGTTGGTAGTTACCTGTTGGCTGAGGGATTGGTATCTTATCTGAATAGACACCATCTCGACACATTTCCCTTCCGTTCGGCCGCTGGCCACAGGCGCCTCCGCAAGGATAGGACACTGAGAGGACTTTCTCATATCAAAGCTGGTTGCCGACTCATCTTCTTGGTTTCCCCCTCGTCCGCGGGACTGGCGGTGCAGATGGGCCTGACGGAAATTCTCTGTCTCCGCTGCTTTGGTTTTTTTTGAAGAGTTAGACATGTAGGCCATACACTGCACCTCCGCAAAGCACTTACATGTCACATTGGGGCAGACGGTGCGCGCATGGGGCCACTGTTCGCTGTCGGTAAAACCGAACCTAACGGTATGGTAGTGGCATACAGGCGCGCCGTCACGGAATTCAGGACGCAAGTGCAGAGGTGCATTAACGAGATAGTTTTGCACTCCCTCGATGCATCGAACATTGGTCCTGTTGCACATTGGGACATGGGATAACGTTAGCAAAGACCGCCACTGTGTTGTCACATCACAAGGCACTCACTCACCTGCTCTCACATTCCAGCAGAATTATCTTGCTCAGACTGTTGTTTGTGGGGTTAATGGATAAAGACTTGTAATTGCAACAATATTTTGATGTCGAAAAGTAGAAAATATTTCATAAAGCTTACCTCATGTTTCTTTCGAAATTTCAAATTTTTGTTCGACTTGGAGAAAAATAAATTTTGTTGTGAGAAGTTCGAGAGTTATCAGGACTATGTGTAAAACAATTTCTATCAACCAAGAACGCCTGTAGGTTCAGAACGTTGTTGCGATTCGGACAAATTGCTTTTAGACATCGTTGCTACCTCCAGCAATCGGTATACACTATGTAAAGTGTGTCAACATCCGTGACACTATTTCTTATCCAATTTAACAATTATACGCAGCTCATTAAAGCAGGTTGCTCGAAGAGCAATACCAGCATCTGACGCCACTCGAGAATCTCTGATACATACAGATAAAGAGATCAGCCCCCCTGGAAACTTCATATGTGTATATGTATATACAAATGTATATGGGAGAAAAGAGTTGTGATTGTAAATGGAAGAAAACGGAATGGATTCTGTGTGGGATATTATAGCTTTGCTAGCTTTGGGCCAGACTAAGAAATCATCACACAAAACCGCTTTTATTTCCGCCAAACACAATTACATCATTAGCAATGCAATCTCCGTTACCTAACGCAACATTCCGCAACATTCCGGAAATGAAATCCTTGGCAAGCTGGCGTGCCGGCCGCTAAGCTCGCTAAACTTTTCCACATTGAACTGAAGATGTAAAAGGAAAGGACGTCTTCATGTGGCATGCTCGCAGGTGCAGTGAAGACGGTGACAGTAGCGGCAGCGTTGACGTTGGCGGATACGGATACGAAGCTGGGAACAGAGGATAAAGAAAAACAACCGGAAGCAAACGAAATGATGCTGCTGCGCACGAATAATCTAATGAAGCTACGCAGGGTCCAAGGCAGACGCGGTAACAATTCCATACAAACCATTCAGTGGAGCGAATCTACTCGTAGGATAAGAAGAAAAACGATTACCGCGTGTCACTTCTTTTACATCTGAATGTGAATAGACGATGAAAGAAGTTGGAGCTAGTACGTTTGTAGTAGTTGCCACTGTAACCTAACTATATATGAGTTTAGCTTTGGAAAAAACTGATTTTAAACGCATCCACATGCAGCCATATGCGAAAGGATGTTTGTAAAGTAAATAATGAAACAAAGGTATGTTATATATTATTATTCAGTATCAATAGCGGGGTCGATATAGCCATATCTATGTGTCTGTCGCTTTGTTTGCCCAATCATCAACGTAAGTGATGACGTTTCATCGAGATCAAGTGACGAATTTCACTGAAAAGTAAGGCATGTGTAAGGAATGATTTTCACGAAAATTTACGAGTTTTAAGTTCGGCTATTAAAGTTATGAAGACACAAACTGGTTCCATTCAGGGCTTAGACCTGTGCGATTAGAACGATTAGCGCAAATGTATCAAGAGATTTGGTCCCTATCGCCAGCAGAGCACAAGAGTAACACATCACGTCAGTGCCCCATCAAATATGCATTATGTGTGTGCGCGGAGCTGCAAATTGCGAGATGTGTTCTAGCATTTGGGATGCAGGTGCAGTCAGTTAATTAAAATGGTGAAAACCTCATGGAGAATTAAAATGTGTTTTTTATTACAATAAAGCAGGGCTCAGCACGGCCCTATCTATTTTGCATAGGACAAGGCTCTGACGCGGCGCTGCCGGTCACGTGCCCGCGTATTACAGTGATTCGTACCAATACCAATACATTGAAATGTTCCGTTTCGCATGCGCCTTCACACACAATCGCAAAAACGACGATTCACTAAATTCCCAAAAGTATCGAAAAGACATAGAAGTTGGGTTATGCAATACACCACTATTTAAGGATTCGGACAGGACATGATACGAATAATGAACGCCATCTGGCGTCAACCAGTTTATAGAGATGAGAAAGCTTCGAAAGCTCTCTTTTCGATATGTTGCGCCACCTGACATTTTTGGTTATTCTCGGCAGTAAGATTGTACGTACCACGGCGGATACCAGTAATTCCAGTTAACAAATACGCAGAAGCAATACCATTTGATCAGTCGCCAAATCACTTCACTTAAAGGGCATACCCCGCTTGTCTGGGAGTCACATACGTTTTCATCCCATCCCTGGTCGATGACGTCTCCATGGCAAAGAGCAGTAGAGCGTTGACCAAAACACTGCATTTGACTACGTTGCCCGTGGCGACTGCGTGACACAATCAACTGTAGTTTTAAATCAGACACATGTAAATAAACATAAATCCGCAGTAATCAAGGCGAAATCGAGGTAAAATTTTGTTTGAAACATTAAAAACAGACATACAAATCAGAGTTGGAGGTCGAGATGACCATGTCCTAGATGGGTGTGCTATACGCCAAGCTGCCCCGCTATTCCTACTCTTTCTGCTGCTGTTTAAGGACCTTGCCGATAACTGAAGAGTTCCAGGTGCTGCTTTTGGGTCCCGCTGGCAGTGGCAAGACGGAGCTAGGCCACCGGATGAGTGGACAAGAGCGTGACTGCGATGATCAGGATCCAACCAATGGAGTGCGATGCTTCCGCATGGATTCGGCGGCTGTGCAGTGCGAAGAAATCGCTGTAGAGTTGCAGCTTACGGAGGTTGGTGGCAATGTGGAAATGCAGCGCCTTTGGAAGCACTACTACGCGGCCAGTCATGCACTGATCTACTGTTTCGATCTCCATTCGGAAATGGAGGAGCTGGAGGACACGTTTGCACTGTTGCGCATGTGCCTCCAGGGCACACCTCTGGACGGGAAGCCTGTGCTGCTGGTGGCAAAACGACACCGCGATGGAGTGCAATTATACGACGTAGAGCATACATTTGGATTGGACCAGTTGGCACGCTCCTGCGGCTGCCCCCTGCACATCTGCCACATGGACGACGCCACGAATCTGGAGTACGGCATTGTTTGGCTGTGCCGTCAGCTAGTGAAACGGCGTACCATGCTCGAGAAGCGCGTGCGATACGACGTTAACATGCAGGTTATATTCAACTTCAAAAGTACACACTTTTCCTTCCTCACCTGAGCTTGTTTTTACATCCGACAGGTATGGCACCGACGCAAAAAGTCATTCATCTCCAGTAGCAAGATAGCGCAAGTGCATCGCGGCCGTTTCCGTCGTCCTCACAGAAAGGTAGGCAATCCCCAGAAATTGATTTTCAAGTACATCTCTTTCTGCAAGTATTTACATATGAATATATGTGTAAACTTGAAATCCGCAGCTCTGGCCAACAGTCGATGGGGTTAATCAGCAAACGGCGCGTCCAAGTACGGCGCCAACGACAATTTTCTTAGTTCGCTCGCGACAAGAGGCATCACCAAATCCAGAGCAAGCAGCGTCTTAGCTTTCTCCCACGTGCCAAAAGCATTTTGTTACCGACATTTCATGTTAAGGTTTTAGCAGCATTTTAT